CCCCCTCCCCTCTAGAACCCTCAGTTTGTTTCTCAGAGTCCATCGTCTCTCATGGTTCGTCTCCCCCTCCGACTCCCCCCCTTCATTCTTCCCGTCCTGCTATCTTCTTAGAAAAGAAAGTTTTTTTTAAGTGGGTTCTGATGTATAGGAGTATGCATAGCAGCATTATGCATAATAAGCAAAAAGTGGAGACAATCTAAAGTCCATCAATGTATGAGTATCTGTACAGTGAAATATCCAGCAATAAAAGAAATGAAGTACCAGTGTTTCCTTACAGCATGGATGGACCTTGGCAGCAGCATATGAAGTGAAAGAAGCCATTCACAAAAAACCACATGCTCTATGATCCAGTTTATATGAACTGTCCCGAATAAGAAAATATGAAGAGACAGAAAATAGATTAGTGGTGGCCCAGACGAAGGGGGTGCAAGGGATTGCAGGGTGATAGCTGAAGGGAGCAGGGATTCCCCTTGGGGTGATGAAAATATCCTAAAGTTGACTATGGTGATGGATAGATAATCCTGCAAATAAACAAAAGTCTATTAAAGTATACACTTCAAATGGGTGAATTGTATGGTGTGTGAATTATATCTCAATAAAACTGTTCAAAAATCTTTTTGAAGTGGGCTCTGAGTCAGCATGCCTGACATCAGATTTTTTTTCGTCCAGTTACAGGTGGGCGTTTGTTCCAGAAGTGGACACAGAGGGCCCTGCCTTCCTGTCAGATCTAGAGGAGAATCACCAAGAATGCAAACCCCACACCGTTAGGATTCTCGAACTTCTAAAATTAAAATATGGGGTAAATGTCTTCCTTTTTGCAATTTATATTTGTAGCAGAAGGGAGAAAGTCTAGGCAGCAGAAGTCCTCTACGTGCCACTTGATTTTAACAACTTTGAATAATTTTCTAAAGTTCTTTGATCCGAGTGTTAAAACTTGGAGGTGGTATAAAGCCCATCTTTATTTTCTCATTTATATGTCACTTTCTCATCCCAGTTGCTGAGGTAAGCATCCTGGATAACAGGATCGGGATCTGTGGAAGTAGTTTTATACAGAGTCCCTGTATTATGCAGAGGAAGGGCCTGCGGGAAGAATGGCCGGGGCCTGGGGGGCTGAGGTGACATCCTGGTGGAAAATGTCAGTTGAAGACCAGCATTTGAGTTCATTTGGAAACTGCCATTAGTACTGGTAGTGAATGTTCGTAAAGAACCCACTGCTTGGGGCGCCTGGGTGGCTCTGTCGTTAAGCGTCTGCCTTCGCTCAGGTCACGGTCCCAGGGTCCTGGGATCGAGCCCCGCATCGGCCTCCCTGCTCCACGGGAAGCCTGCTTCTCCCTCTCCCGCTCCCCCTGCTTGTGTTCCCTCTCTCGCTGTCTCTCTCTCTGTCAAAAAATAAATAAAATCTTAAAAAAAAAAAAAAATGAACCCACTGCTTAGGTTGGCTGCCTGCATGTACCTCACTTGCATCTCTAACCCTTAGCAAAGCCATATTATCTTTATGAGGTGGTTGTGGTTTTTGTTTTGTTTTGTTATGTTTTGCAGGAAATTGGCAGCTCTGATGAGATCACCATGAAGAATGAATTCCCCCTTCTGCGCCAACATTCTGTTTCCAGCATCAGGCAACTGAAGCCATTCTTCCAGACTCTAAATTGTGCTTTTAAAACCCAGAGTAAACTGACTGCCGATACCCGAGGACCTCCAGTCTTGGAGTTTCCTGTCACAGATAGCCCAAGGGTCTTGAAACAACTAGAAGAATGTGTTGAATATGATTTTTTGGAACATCTGGAATCTTAACCACATAAGACAGAATTTCAGAATATATCCTGAAAGCCAGGATATATTCTAAACAAGAAAGGAGCCAGGATAGTGCTTTTAAATAAGTCTTTTTCCATTTTTCAAGGTCGATTTCAGATAATTTTCTGTTGGGCAACAAAACACACCTCCCTAAATGCCTTGTAATATATTTGGATCTGATTGTATGTTTCTTCCTCAATTTATGTAAAGAAAATAAAATTAATATATCATCTAATGCTAGCACAAAATGTGTAATATGAAGTGTGAAGGTAATGAGTTTTCTTTGTTGATGTAGATACGTGTGGGCTGTCAGTATATTTCTCTAAAAGTTTACATTTGTTGAATATTACTTTTAACCTTTCACACATGTCCTTTTTTTCTTTAAAGATTTATTTATTTGAGAGAGAGAGAGTGAGAGAGAGCATGAGAGGGGAGAGGGCCAGAGGGAGAAGCAGACTCCCCACTGAGTGGGGAGCCCAATGTGGGACTCGATCCTGGGACTCCGGGATCACGACCTGAGCCGAAGGCAGTTGCTTAACCAACTGAGCCACCCAGGCGCCCACACGTATGTCCTTTAAAGCATTTATTTTGGTACCACGTTTTAAAACCAAAGTATATTATTTTCTGAAAATAATAATTGCCCATTACCATTGACTATTCAGCAGTGGTAAGGGCTTGAAGATATTGCAGTGTATTTAACTCTTAACCATTAAAATCACATGGAAGGGGCGCCTAGGTGGCTCAGTTGGTTAAGTCTCTGACTCTTGATTTCGACTCAGATCATGATCTCAGCGTTGTGAGATCGAGCCCCAGGTCGGGCTTCTTACTCAGAGAAGAGTCAGCTTGGGATTCTTTCCCTCTCCCTCCCCCTCTGCTTCATCCCCACC